AGAATAGAACCATAGGCATAGCTACAACCAGGTCTAAAATATCTTTAGGAAAGAGCAAGGCCAAGACGAAAGTAAGGTTAGGGAATGTGAAGTGAGGGCTAGGGCATGGTAAAAAAAGTAGGACAAGGAGATGGTTACGGGAAGACTAAATGTAGGACTAAAATATGTCTAAGGTAGGGTAGGGTAAGGTAGAATAGGATAGGGTAGGGTAGGGTAGGGTAGGATAGGATAGGATAGGGTAGGGTGGGGTAGGGTAGGGTAGGGTAGGGTAGGGTAGGGTAGGGTAGGGTAGGGTAGGGTAGGGTAGGGTAGGGTAGGGTAGGGTAGGGTAGGGTAGGGTAGGGTAGGGTAGGGTAGGGTAGGGTAGGGTAGGGTAGGGTAGGGTAGGGTAGGGTAGGGTAGGGTAGGGTAGGGTAGGGTAGGGTAGGGTAGGGTAGGGTAGGCTAGGGTAGGGTAGGGTATATTGTGAAATGTAAGTAAACTAATATATATATATACCTAAAGTTTACAGGTATATATATGTTTTTTACTTTGTAGTATAAAAAGAATAACGGTAAATAACGGAAGTAAAATATGTGAAAAACAACTTGCTCAATAACCTTTCGAGCCCCTTTTTGTTGCTTATTGACAAACAAACAGCGTTTTTCGGGAAGAATTTGTTTTCTTGATAACATTCCAATGACCCATGACTCTACAAGGTTTGCTCTTTATTCATATGACAAATTTTATAGCACCTGCGACATGGTTTTGTTACTTTTCGTTTGGAAATATGTGAAAATATGAGTTGGAAAGAGAAAAAGAAGGAGGAGAGGGGGGAGGGCTTGAGGCAAAACAACAAAATTTTTTAAAATTTTTTGTAAAGAAAGTTCTTGCGGTTTTTGAAAAAACGAATTTTGTAAAGAAAGTTTTGCGGTTTTTCAAAAAATTAGTACGTAAAGAAAGTTCTTGCGGTTTTAAAAAAAATAAATTTTGTAAAGAAAGTTCTTGCGATTTTTCGAAAAAATGAGCTTTGTAAAGAAAGTTCTTGCGGTTTTTAAAAAAATAGTAATAATTTATGCCCTATCTTTTAACAATGCTAATATTACTAGTACTAGCAAATCATGTTGTACTAAGGTTATGTGTGAGAATGATAAAAGCATTAGTACTAGAACTTATACTGTATTGTACTATGCTTAAATATAACTGTTACTTTGAATAAATTAGTTGTTTTTTAATTGTGACAGTAAAAACAAGCCATTACTGCCAAAATCGTATCTAATCTCACATTTTGTCTCTATACTTTCAAATTTCCTAGACGGTAAACAATGTCACAGGTAATTAGTCTCATTCTAGATATACTAAACTTCAAGAGGTGGAGTATAATATACTAAAGTGGCTAAAAATTTTTTTTTGAGTTTTGAAGTTTGAAATTTTGTTGTTTTAAGGACAATTTTTGGATATAAAACATTGTTCCTAGTTGAAAACATGTTTGTTTACAAAAAAGAACGTATAATAATCTAAAACGGACATCACATTGTTGACCTTTGCAAGCCAATCATAACATAAACGAGATTCGACTGGTTCAACTTTTGTGTTTTTATAGTTATTTTTTGCATTTTTTAGTTTTTTTTTATTTTTGTACCGCTTCCTATCTTGTTTAAGCCTTAGTATTATTTTTAGCCTTGGCCTGAGCCTGAGAATGCTTTATGTTGAGCATGAGCGTAAAGTCTGAGCCTGAACCGGCGTCTTAACCGGAACCTAAAGTAGAGCTTGAACGTAAGTCTTGGGTTAATCTTAGCCGTAGCCGGGGCTTCATTATGAGCATGAGCCTAAGCTTGAGCTTGAACATGCGCCGGACCTTGATCGTAAGCATGAGCATAAGCCTGAGCAAGTGTAAGTCTGAGGTTGTGATTGAACTTGAACCTGAGTATAAGCCAGAGCCTAAGCCAGAGCCAGAGCTTGGTCTTGAGACAGAGCCTTAACTTTAAGCTATAACTGAGCCTTAGCGTTAGCCTGACCCTGAGCCTTAGCGTTAGACTGAGCTTGAGGGTGAGCTTAAGCCTGCCTGAGCCTGAGCTTTAGCCTGAGCCTAAGCTTGAGCCAGAACCTGAGCCTGAGTCTGAGCCTGAGCCTGAGCTTGAGCCTGAGCCTGAGACTGAGCCTGAGCCTGAGCCTAAGCCTAAGCCTAAGCCTTAGCTTGCTCCTGAGCCTTAGCAAGCTGAAGCTGAGCTTGACCCCGAGCATGAGCTTGAACATGAGTTTCAGTTTGTGTATAAACCTGAGCCTTAACCTTATTATGGCCCTCATCTTACAAAAACTTAGTCTACTCTTTCATACTGTATTACTGTTTCTTTTAACTATTGCTATGCTATATTACCCACCTACCGTACCCCAACTCATCTCAAAATAACCCAAACCCAATGTCTTAAACCCAAATTTGCTTAAAAATTCGACTTTTTTTTAAGTAACCCGCTAATCCAATATTAATCTGCGGGCTGTATTTTAATGCGATTAATTAATGTGAACAATGTTGGGAACGTTGGGAAAACAGCTGTGTCTGTTCGGCGTTTTCTTTTTTTGGTTCCGTGTTCGGATGAAATTTGTTGATATAGGTTTTTGACATGTTTTAGAAGGGCGTGTGAAGCTGAATATTGGGCTGGGTGGTGGGGATATTGAGGTATATTGATGTGGGTATTAAAATTTTAAGAAAGTTTCAAAAAGCACGTTTTGTAAAGAAAGTCCTTGCGGTTTTCGACAATGTTAGTTTTGTAAAGAAAGTTTTTGCGGTTTCTTAAAAATTGAGTTTTGTAAAAAAAGTTCTTACGGTTTTTCAAAAAAAATCTGTGTTGTAAAGAAAGTCGTTGCGGGTTTTCAAAAAAATGAGTTTTGTAAAGAAAGTTGTTGCGGTTTTTTGAAAAACGAAGTCTGAAAGAATGTTCTTGTGTTTTTTTTTCAAAAAAACATTTTTTAAAATGCCTTCATGTAATTTTGTACCTAAAAAAATAATTTTTGAAAAAATTTATTTGTTACCTAAAATCATTTACCTCACAGCAAAATACGACGTAAATAAAACGTCATGGTGTTGTTAGCACGAAAATAGTTTTTTTCTTAAATTTTGATATCAAATTCGGGGATTTAACACTATTTCCCCACGCAAGCCGAGATTAAGTTCACAATCGGATGACGTGAGGTTAAAGGGTTTTGTTTCACGGTATTCTTGAGGTATTCATTACAGTGGCTTTTGATTTTTTTAAAATTAAAATTAGGTTTGGTTTTTTTTATTTCGATATAGATTATGTGTAAAATACGCTACCTTTAATTTGACTCTTTTAATTTTTACACAAAATGTTATTTTTGAAACTATACTTTTGCCATAGCTCTAGCACTAGCTCAGAGCCTTAGCCCAGAGCCCTAGCCCAGAGCCCTAGACCAAAGCCCTAGACTTAAAGGTGGCTTCCAAGCCGGGCTTGGGAAAATCCAGACAAGATATCTAAAGTTTTCAGCCTGGCCTAACAAACCCGTTTATGCTCTAGACAAGTTTAAAGTAAGCTCACTTTATCTTGAGCTTACTTTAAACTTATAGCTAATATGCAATTGTAAACAGACTGTTCTGTAGCTTCTGTGAAAAATTAAAAATTAAATTCAAAGTTGAGGAATGTTTATCCGTTTGCAAAAGGCGTAGACAAATGGAAACAGAACAATGGGATCTTTGACGTGTTTACGACTCTTGTTTTGAAGGTGGTGTTTATTTCGCCTTTTTCTAAACGAAAAAATACACAAATTTGCAATTGGGTGTGAACTTTCACTCGGATTTTAGGACCTTATGGCAATTTTTTAAATTTTTGTTGGAGTTATATCTGGCCATATCTAATCAAAAATGGCAATTTTGGGGCTAAAAGGTCATTTTATTTAAAAATTGTTTAAAAGCCGCAAGATTTCTTTACAAAACTTATTTTTTTTAAAAACCGCAAGAAGTTTCTTTACAAAATTTATTTTTTTTTCAAAAAACTGCAAGAACTTTCTTTACAAAACTCATTTTTTGTAAAACCGCAAGAAATTTCTTTACAAAACTCTAATTTTAAAAAACCGCAAGAACTTTCTTTACAAAGCTAATTTCTCAAAAAACCGCAAGAACTTTCTTTACAAAACTCATTTTTTTAGAAACCGCAAGAACTTTCTTTACAAAACTTATTTTTTCAAAAACCGCAAGAACTTTCTTTACAAAAAATATTTTTCAAAAACCGCAAAAAACTTTTTTTACAACACTAGTTTTTTTAAAAACTGCAAGAACTTTCTTTACACAAAAAAAATTATTTTTTTTTAGTAAAACGCCTATAAACGAAGACAAATTGAAACCGAAATTTGTCGAACGTAATTTTGGAATAAGTCCGGAGGCGATTAAGCGTCAAATTTCGTGGCGAAAATGCGGAAAAATGGATTGAAAATGAGGGGAAAATGGTAATGTGAAGAAGGGAGATTCTCGCTTCTTTCCTCTCACTGCGTTTACACGCCTTTGGAGCCGGGGATGGATTGGCATTAAAGTTTGAGGAGCTTTAGAAGGTAGAAGGGTAGATAAGTTTTGTAATTTTTAAAAATAAAAAACTTGTTTTGTAAAGAAAGTTCTTGCGATTTTTGAAAAATTAGATTTTGTAAAGAAAGTTCTTGCTATTTTTGTAAAAATGAGGCGTGTAAAAAAAGTTTTTGCGGTTTTTGAAAAAATTGGTTTGTAAAGAAAGTTCTTGCGGTTTTTGAAAAAATGAGTTTTGTAAAGAAAGTTCTTGCCGTTTATGAAAAAATGTTTGGTGATGAAAGTTCTTGTGGTTTTTGAAAAAAACTAGGCCCGGCTTTGCCATTCCAAACCAATTTTGAAAGGGTCTAGGACAAGCCAAAAAATTAGGCTTACCATTAGCCCTGTCCTTTTACAGGTCTAATCGGTTTTGATTGTTGGTTGATGTGGCTTGAAAAGCAGGGGAAGACGAGGCCGTAGGGTTAGTGCTAGGCGAAAACAAAGGGATAATTAGCTAAAACACAGGCTCAGGCTCAGGCTCAGGCTCAGACTCAGGCGCAGGCGCAGGCTCAGGCTCAGGCTCAGGTGCAGCTTCAGTCTCAGGCTCAGGCTCAGGCCCAGGCCCAGGCCCAGGCTCAGGTTCAGCTTCAGTCTCAGGCTCACGCTCAGGCTTAGGCTTAGGCTCAGGCTCAGGCTCAGGCTCAGGCTCAGGCTCAGGCTCAGGCTCAGGCTCAGGCTCAGGCCCAGGCCCAGGCTCAGGTTCAGCTTCAGTCTCAGGCTCACGCTCAGGCTTAGGCTTAGGCTTAGGCTTAGGCTTAGGCTTAGGCTTAGGCTTAGGCTTAGGCTTAGGCTTAGGCTTAGGCTTAGGCTTAGGCTTAGGCTTAGGCTTAGGCTTAGGCTTAGGCTTAGGCTTAGGCTTAGGCTTAGGCTCAAGCTCAGGATCAGGCTCAAGTTCAAGCACGAGCTTAAGCACTGGATGAAAGTCAGGCTTAGGTTAAAGATCAAACTAAAAATTATGATTAAGATAGAGCTAAACTAAAGCTAAGCCTAAAGCTTAATTTATAATAAGGCTTGGGTAGGACTAGAGTAAATACAATAAATAGCAGCTTGAAAAATAATTCCACCACCAATTTGTATCAGTCTTTCCCGAAAAGAATGTTACAAAACTGCACAGTGCAGTTTGAAGAAATCGCTGTTGCGCCGAGAATTGGGCGACAAGCGACAAGGTCTGCGACAGTCGCTTGCACTCGGCGACATCCCAATGGAAATCGCAATGTCGCAAGTGCAAAGCTTTGCGACAAACTGTCGTGTCGCGCTTCGAATGGCGATGCGACAGTGTGTCGCGGTTGTCGCAACGCTCAAGTCACAACTGTGTTCAATGGAAGGATTGCGACACTTTTTTTTGACTGTTGCAAGTCATTGAAACCTGCGACAACCGACCGGTGCGGCACTGAAGGGATTGCACTGTGCAATCTTTCCTCACATCGTTGGCTGTATCGGGAGATCGCGCGGGAAATCTGCACTGTGCAGCGGAATAAAAAGGGCGCGATTTTCTTGGGGACTGCACCGTGCAGCTGTAACATTCTTTAGTGGAAAGACTGATAAATCTATTTATGTCAACATTCTCCCACGAATTACAAGAAAATCTTTAAGTTTTGGCTTTTTGCCACTGACAGTTTTGTTTTCCTGAAAATTGTTTTGTTTGGAGCCGAAAAGCGAACGAACGAACGCGGCCAAACATCGCTCCTTCCTGCTTGGCCACGAGGGCTTAAAAACGTCTTGGGTTCAGGGCTCGTGGACTTTGGCATTTTAAATTTGATTTTTGCGGTCAAGAGGCTTGAACTTTCTAAGAATTTTTTAAAAAGGAGGGGGGGGGGGGAATAGCTTTGTCCTGATATTTTAGGGCCTTTTTGAAAAAATGAAATTTGTAAAGAAAGTTCTTGCGGCTTTTGAAAAAGTGAGTTCTGTAAAAAAAGTTCTTGCGGTTTTTCAGAAAAATAAGTTTTGTAAAAAAAGTTCTTGCGGTTTTTGAAAAATGAGTTTTGTAAAGAAAGTTCTTGCGGTTTTTGAAAAAAAGAATTTTGTAAAGAAAATTATTGCGGTTTTTGTTTATTTCTCATTTAATTATTGTTTTCTCTTGATTTAATGCTTAACTTTACCTTACTTAAAACCCTTAATTTGTGATCAAAAAGAGGTCAAGAGTATCATCTGTTGGACATGAGGTCAGGTTCATATGATTTGACATAAAAAATTGGTTTTATAGCTGACAAAAGGCTTTGGAAATGAAGATTTGACAATTCAATTTCGTTGGCATCTTGTGTGGCTTTGTTATGTTATACTTTTGACATTTCTGAGAGGGATACTCGTACTGACAGTTAAATTTTAGTTTTTAAGATTTTAATGTTTTTTAGTGTTTTTGGTACTCTTTATAAAGAATTGTGGTACTTTTTCTATTTTGGACTCTTCGGTACTATTTTTTAAACATTTGTGGTATTTTTTGACCGTTTAGGCATTTGGTACCATTTTTAAACATTACATAGTTTTTTTCGAATTATAGGGCTTTTGGTACTGTTTTTTTAACTATAATGGTTTTCTTGCATTTTTAATTCTATAGTACCATTTTTGGGAAATTTATGTTTTTTGTTACTTTAGGGCTTTTGGCACTGCTTTTGAAACATTGTTAGTACGTTTTTGAATTTTAGGGTTATTGGTACCACTTTAGGAAAATAGTATGGTTTTTGTAATTTTTAGAACCATTGGTACTACTTATGAAGACTTATTATTACGGTTTTAAATTTTAGAGCGATTGGTATCAGTTTTGGAAAATTTATAGTTTTTTTTTTACTTTTTAGGGCTTTTGGTACTACTTTTGAAAAATTATTTGTACGGTTTCGAATTTTAGCGCCACTGGTGCTATTTTTCAAAGTTTTATAGTTTTTTTTTCTGCACAGTGCATTTAAAACTCCTGTATAACGAAACTCTTTTATAACGAACATATTTCAAGTCCCCCGAGCGATTCGTTATACGGGAGTTCCACAAGGCTTTTGGAATTATTATATTTCACTTTAAACTTTATTGCACTTTTTTAATGTTTTTTTCAAATTTTTATTTTCTTAGTATCTACTCAAAATTTGTAAAATATTTGCAAAAAAAGTCATTTTTAGGTTATTTTTAATGTATAAGTAACTTAAAAGTGCACAAATACTTCTGATCTACTTAAGTAATTGTAAGGGGGCTGTACTTTGGAAGTTCGAATTTTCACTGAGCCGACTATTAAAGCGTAAAGGGCGTAAAGTGCCTAAAGGGATTTTTAGGACGAATTTGAGCTGGTGTAATGTTAGGGATGACACAAATATATATTGGATTACGTCATTTTTTCAATTTCTAATTTTTGCAACTTTTGAAAAAAATTTTTTTTTGTTTTTTAAAAGTGCCTTACCCTACCCTACCCTACCCTACCCTACTCTAATTTACTCTCTTCTACCTTTCCTACCAACCCTACCCTATCCTACCCTACCCTACCCTACCCTACCCTACCCTACCCTACCCTACCCTACCCTACCCTACCCTACCTTACCCTACTCTATCCTACCCTACCCTACCCTACTCTACATAAAAATACTACTTTTTACTTTTTTTGTTTAGTGGTACACTTTGTACCCTTTTTTGTTTAGTGGTTTACCCTACCCTATCTTATTCTAACCTCTCCTAATCGTACTTTAGGCCCAGCTCTAGCCTTGCGGTAGTTATGCCTTATCTATTTCTGCATCTACCTTGTCTGCTCTACCATATCTGTACTTTTGTCGTAGCTTACGCTGATACCTTACTCTAACTTATCCTGTCTCTTGGTAACTCGTAGTAGAGCCATACAGTAAGCCTTCCAAACTGCTGTTGTACAATTTCCTTATTGTTGTTTTTACTCCGCTTATATTGCTTAATAACGCAAGAGATAATTCGGTTACAACAATCCCATTCTACTCGGATTAATGCAAGTTGAATGCGAAGGAGAAGAATGGCTTCTCGATTAGTTGAATTAACATGCCATCAATTAACTGCCGATCGTATTCTCTACTGCGCGAACGTTCGTATTCTTATGTAGTCTTGAGTTAATTTACAGAGTGAGAAAAGTTATTTTCGACTTTTTGAAATTTTAGGTAACATGTGATGATTTTATGACGTTTTTCATTAGAAATGAGGATTTTATGACATTTTTCATTAGAAATGAGGATTTGATGACATTTGCCATTCGAAATGAGGATTTTATGACATTTTTCATTAGAAATGAGGATTTGATGACATTTTTCTTTAGAAATGAGGATTTATGACATTTTTCATTAGCAATAAGAATTTTTGACATTTTTCATTAGAAATGAGGATTTATGACATTTTAAATAAAAAAAAAATTCTTTGTATCTTACCTAAAAACCCCCCCCTCCATAACCCTTTGAGTTGTTTGAGTATTTGCCGAAGCGACGCTTGAGAAAAGATTCCAAAAAAAAGCTTTTTTGGAGCAGCAAAGTGGGCATATTTGTATTTACTTTGGGTAAAAATTGAATATTTTAATCCCGAAAAACAAATTTGTTTTTCCTTTCGACTGGTGTAATGTTGCGGTTTTTGAAGATTCTACTGGGGTTTTTGGGTGTGGTGAAATATTTTTTAGTTTTTTGTTAAGTTTTAGGGCTGTTAAAGGGGAGGTGGAGCAAGATTCATAATATGTACAGTGGCGGCAAAAAAAATGGGACAGTCGGTTTTTCGTCAATTTAAAATTTTTTTTGAACGTTTATAAATTTGTACCTAGCTATTATGAAAATGTAGGGTAAGTTTAACATACTCAAGCAAAAAAAAATTTAAAATTTGAATTTTAAATATTTTTAAAAATTTTTCAAAAAATTTTGCTTGGCAAAAAAAAAGTGGGACACTTCAATATCAAAAACATTTTTATTAAACAACCTAACTAAAACAACTAAAAATACGTTTAACTAACAAACAATAACTAGTACTTTGTTGGACCACCATTTGCAGCAATAACAGCGGCCATTCGACGAGGCATATACATGATCTAATCGTCCACGACTTTAATGTCAAGATTTCTCTATCCCTCCTCCAAAACTGATTCCAATTGAGCTTCTGTCGTAGAGCATGTCTTTTCTACGTTTCTTGCAACTAATTCCCATAAATGTTCAATAGGATGAAGGTCAGGAGACTAACTAGGCCAGTCGAGTTTGCGGATCTTCTCCTTCTTCATATATTGTTGAACAACTTTAGCCCTGTGTTCCGGGTCGTTGTCACTTTGAAATAAGGATACATTTATTTTTAAAGAACGACAATAAGGTATGGCAATTTTGTATAAAATTTCTAAGGAAACCGTTTCTTCCATAATTTTTTCTATACGATCATAAGTTCGATGTTGTTGTAGGCAAAACACGACCAAACCATTATGCTTCTGGGATGCTTAACTGTTGGCCGTAGGTACCGCAATTGATTTTCAGAGTTAGATGGCCTTCTTACCTATCGTTTACCATCTGATTCCTTAGTATCCATAAAAGCGATTAATCAATGTATTCTCTTTTTTGTAGTAAATCTAGGTCTTCCTCTTCCTTTTTTGCGTTTTGTAGAGCCACAACCCTTGTATCACGGAATTATTTTTCCAACAGTTAATTTTGGCATGTTAACCATGACATCTATTGCTCGAATAGATATCTTCTCTTTGCCAAGACGCACAATTAAAAAACAAACCTCTTCACCTGCTTGTTTTGGCATACTGTAACTTAAAATATATTTGGACACAAAAACAGCACAAAAACTAGTACAAATTAAAACTTACTTTGCATATTAACAGCTTCCGTCACAAGTGTCCCACTTTTTTTTGCCAAGCAAAATTTTTTGAAAAATTTTTAACAGTATTTAAGACTCGAATTTAAAAAATTTTTTTTGCTTGAATATGTTTAACTTACCCTACATTTTCATAATAGCTAGGTACAAATTTACAAACGTTCGAAAAAAATTTAAAATTGACGAAAAACCGACTGTCCCATTTTTTTGCCGCCACTGTATGTATAATAGCGTATGATAAAAGTGAGGTTTGGTAGGGTAGGGCAAGGTAAAGGTAATAGATGATAGGTAATAGCCAAGGTAGTTTAGGGTAAGGGCAGTGTATGATAAAAATAGAAAATAGTAAGGGTAGATTAAGGCAAAGGTAGAGTATAGTAAAGATAAGGTATGGTAAGAGTAGGGTATGGTAACAGTAAAGTATTGTAAGAGTAGAGTATGATAAGGGTAGGATATTGCAAGGGTAAGATAAGAGAAGAATAGGGTAAGGTATGTAAGGGCAGTTTAGGGTATGGTATGAGTAGAGTAAAGCAAGAGTTGGCTATGATAAAAGCAGACTATAGTAATGGTATGGTATTTTAAGAATAAGTTACGGTAAGGACGGGGTAATGTAAGGTATGTTAATAATAAATTAGAAGTTGGTATGGGTAGTGTATGAGTAGGATATGAAATGGTAGTGCATTGTAAGGTAAAAAAATCGTTTACCCTAACCTTTCCCTACTTCTACTCAAAAAAAGGGATTTATAACTCTAAC